CGGATAACGCTGCTCTGTGTGTGTAATTTGATCGGCCAACAGTTCTAGTGCCGTGCTCACACGTGCATCAGGAGAAATGTACGCACTCACCAGAATAAACGAGGAAAACTCCCGCTGCGAATAAAAAGGCTTACAGTTAATAAAGAGAGCTTCCAAGTTTGGGCAGCACATCTTCTTTAAAACGGTCACGTCTGTACACCAGCCTTTATTTATATAAAAACATAATCCACCACCTCTCGTTTTCCCCGACGAGCTGGAAGCCCGTTAGATGAAGCACGCTGTCCGGGATGGCTCCGTTCAGCCAGGTTTCCGTGAAGCAGAGCGCAGCTCTTTAAAAAGTCCTTGTTTGTGCGGGTGAGGAGTTGTAGTTCGTTTGATTTATTTGCAAGGGAGCGGAGATTCGCCAGATGAATACTGTGCAGCGGAGTCCTAAAACCGTGCTGACGGAGTTTCACGAGCGAGCCGGCGCGCTTTCCTGGCGTGTGTCGCCTGGAGCGCTTGTATAGGAACGCAGCTCCTCCGACTAAAATGTCCAGTAAAACGTCTGAATGTTCAAACGTCGGCAAAAAGTTATCTGGTGTGCTATTCCTTATGTCCAAGAGTTCGTTTCTAGTGTAGCTGATCCGAAAAATGTTGCTTAAGACAGGACAAACAAACAAAAACAGTAAAAGTACCAAGGAGCAACAAACCGAGGCGGCCATGTGCGGTGCCATCTTATGCATTTTTTTTTATGCATCTTTCATTAGAGCTGGTTGATATGATATATTGTTGCGGTGATATAAAGTGTGTATTGATAGCGATTTTGCCATATTGTGGTATGTAAATATATCTAATGCAAGACTGCTTAAAGTTATTGACGACAGTGTGGGTGTGTTTGATGATTAGAGTTTTTAAGTATAATAACCCGGACACACATCTGAAACATGCACTGAAAACCTCTCTGACAAAATACCATCCTGAATTCAGTTCTCATTTACGGCTTATTATTATGGTCAGATACACACAGAATAGCGTCTAAATGCTTGACTTGGCAAGAATTCACATAAACATAGTCTGTGTCTTAAGTGAGCATAAACAGTTCTTACATATCAGTACATGAGATCCATGCATCAAGTCTTAAAGGGACAGCAGCCTAATATACCTGCTGCTCTGTGTCTGAGTGATTTTCTCTTTGTCTTTTGTTGTTTGATTAACAGTGTTCTTGACTGAATAACTTCAGTAGTTTTGATAAGGATTAGGGCTGCCACTAACGACTATTTTGATTAATCTGTCGACTAATTTATCGATTTATCGATTAATCTAAACGATTAATTTCCCACCAAAAAAATCAACAATTTTACTTAAGAATGTTTTATTAAACTATATTTCATTAAACCAAATGAAATCCAAAAGTAAAAAAGTAAAGTGCAATATAAAGTGCAAGAAGCAAGTGTCCATCTCATAGTCCAAATCACTGAAATCAAAGTTCAGTATTATAGTGTAAGAATGACAACATA